ATTTTTTAAGTGAGCTAATTAATAAACAAAGACCAAAATATAATGTTTCATATTCCTTACGCTGAAGTCTACTTCATGCTATTATATCATCATTAGTTATAAGGGCAGAACATTTGTGGTTTTCACCTTGCAAAATCCATGAGCAGCATTTTAATTATATAGGAAAATTTCATATAATGGCCAGTAGCTGAACTGAATGAAATGAGTATTTTAAATTTATAATTAAACATATTTTAAATTCACTAGAAATTTAGGAACATATAATGTTTAAGTATTTCAAGTTTCGGAGTAAACTATTTAAAATGTCTTTTTTTTGGGGGGGGCGGGTTGCTTTAACTGCTTATGGGTTACAGATTTCAGCCATATAATCTTATAAACAGCATTTAAAAATTAATTTTTTAATCCAGGCAGATCATATTTCCTCGTATGAAGTTACTGTTCAAAATTTATTCACTGCCTTACTTATTCATTACACACACAATATATTCAAATACTAATTAATCATATATAATCAATATTCAGATACTAATAATTAAAAAAATTTCCGCTATTAAAAGAAAACATTTTAAAATGTCCAATTTAGCAGTATTTTTTTTACCTCAAAATATGTCACTGTTGTATTATTTTTCAAATTCGCTACTAATGCATGAATTAAGTAAACTCAAATATTATTTACAATCGAGGATTAGTGATATGGGTGTTTTGAATATTCAGGGTTTTATTGAAAAGCACAATGGTAAAAAAGGTTTATTAAAATTCAAATACAGTAATTCAATGATGTAATATACACATGTAATTAATATCTACAACAAACAATTATTGTATGAAATGCATAACAGAGCAAAGAATGAAAACATATACATGAATTCACAATAACATAAGCTGCAAAATAAACAAAATACAGGAATATTCACATAAATTTACACTAATATGAAACAAGTGTTATGAGTAATAACATTACTCAAATTTTTCCTTATAGTCAAATCTTCATTTTTATTACTCTTTTAATATCTTGTGTTAGTGGGTGGCCTCCACGCATTCTTTGAGCGATAATCTCTGTGGCACTTCATCAAAGCCTATACTGTTGAAACAAACATTACCAAATGCTAACTTGTAATGACATTAATACATGTATCATAAGAAATACACAATGAAAATGAAGAAAATGTTAATGTACCAATATTTCTTGTTTCAGTATTATAAATTCTTGAAATATCATAAAAGAGGAATTAGACATTTTTTATTATACATTCAATTATACATCTACCAATTTTAGTGTTATTGTGTGGCACCAGGGTAACTATGTGAGACACACTAATCGCCTCGAAGATTTCTGATTTACAAAATAATTTTGGCAGTAACTTTTAAAGGCTCAAAAAATGCTATCAAAAAGGTATAATTCTTAAGTAATTACATATATTTTGCAGAAATACTTCGGAACTATTTGAGCTGGTATTCGTGAGAATCCTTAAGTAATTTTTTGAATCCAGAATAATTAAATTGAGAAACAACAGAATGCGGCCAAATTATATCCCTAAGTATTCTTTCATTTCACTTTCTAATGAATGCATAATAGCATTAATTAAGAATTTTATAAAAACATTAAAAATAATTACATGAAGCAAGATCTCTAAAATTTCAAAATTACATATAATTAAAATATAGTTTAATATCTGCAATATATTTTTAACTCATCATATTTTCATAAATGTAACTTTACAATCTAAGACGAATTACAATAAAGCATACTTTATGACAAAAAAACATGAACTTGCAGACTAAATATAATGTGTATCATTTAGTCTGAGATCAAAAGCTGTACTAGGGAACATTCTGGAAAACCATATTTAATACGTTTTAAACTATTTTACTTTCAAAGGTAAAGTTTCATCCATCTCATCAAAATTATTAAATATTCATCAATCTTTTGATTGTCAGTTTCTATTACCTGCCAGTGAGGCAGAATGTATTCACCAAGACACAAAGAATATGTATTACATAAATGTAAAATATAAAAAATACGATGGCTCTGCTCTGTGCGAGCATGCAATCTATAATTAACTTTCTACAATTTCAGGCTAAGGGGGAGCCCTTAGACCAGTACTTTCGAGAACATTCTGGCATGTTATATAACCATTAGTATAAATACTAAGTACATGCGGTTTTACGTCAGACTGCTTTCTTCTACCGCTGCTATAAGACCCTGCAGCTGCTCATCCCATCTTGTTCTTTTCTTTGTTAAAGTCTAAATTTAATCTTACTTAGTTTAAATCACTATTGAAAATGTAATTTTGCGAATTTCATCTAAAAGCAAAATGATCTGCTGTGAGAATTGAATAAAGATGTGGGATCTAAAAAGCCAAATCCTTCTTTGTCGTCATTTTGCAGTCTTCTACTCAGATGCCCGGACTATGATGTAGTTATATCGTCAAGCTTTGTCTTTCCTGTGCCTACCTACCAAAACATACATACATACATAATGTAATCTACTACAATTATTTTGTCACAGTATTTAGAATAAAAGTCTGACTTATTGCTATATCTTGCAAAATATCGACTAAATCTGTACACAAGATACGAAATATCAACTAAATCTATACATAAGAATTTTCTATTAAAAATTTCTGTGCAGACCTGATAATCATTATATATATTGCTCTTTGTAAAATGTACTGAACAGAAAAGCTGCATGTATACAAAAAATTTCAAGAGAAGACACTTAATATTTATTCTGTTGCAGAAGCAGACTGTTTATTTTCAATGTATATAATAATAAGCAAAGATGATATGTGACAAATTTTCAGTTCTATAATTTTTATATCTAATATACAGTGTACAATTATAAGCAATCTTTATTTTCAAATCCTTGCATTATATGTTGGTGATTATGGGGTGGTCTATTATTCATCTGTTTTCTTATCTGTCATGGCGACTACAATAAGACTTCCGTAAGTTCAAATGTATCCCTGCCTCCGTAATTTTAAAGAAATATTTGAATGAAAGATAGGTTAAATTACATAATAATTATACGTACTTTACTTGTGTGTTTACAGTCAAACATAATACTCAACAACTAGTATACTTGATAATGCCCAAGTGGGATTTGAATGGCATTCAATAACATATACTGAAAAGGTAAGTAAAAGTATTATAAAAATATTGCCCCCATTTGCTTGGCTTAAATAATAGTTGTGTAATAAAAGAACATTTTAGATACGATATTAACTAATTTTTTTTTATTTTATCTCTTTGACCTTTAAAATGAAGAGGTAATGTTTCTGGTTGATATTATGTGAAAACCTGAAAAGCAAACAACAACTACACTAAATCTAAAAATGTTTCCAAATTTCACACAATCTGCAAGAAACTAATAAGGTCAACAAAGCCTGATTAACTGAATTTATCGGCAGATGATGATTCAAATCTGAATATAGGAGACATGTAAATAGTATAAAACTATACCAAATATATATCAATGTGCAAGTCATCGTATGTATGAATGAGTGCCTATTATAAAATTAAGTACAAATCTTGCTCTGAACTACTTAGTATGCTTATGCACTAATTTTTGCATTTTCTTAATTCATATATTTAACTAGCATTATTACAAAATTAAATAATATCTGTAATAGTTGTAATTGAAGCAACCGTATTTGAAATTTCACCTCTTTCATAATAACCACAATTGCCTAGTACATATTCATAAGCAAAGCATACAATTAAGTGCTTCACAGTATTTTTAACACTAACTCAGACATCATTACTTGCATCTTAACATTCCGCTTCCAGAAACAACGGTCAAAATTTTTCAGCTGCCATTCACTGTGCCAAAGCCTGAAATTAAAATCATTTTATAAAAATCTTTAAAATGATGATTCAAGTATTGAAAAATCTTAGATCATAACTTAGTCATACACACAAAATATTTTATTATTTTTATACCAATAAAATAATATGTTGTTCAGTGCTGAATGAATTATTTAACAATAGGAGAGTGTCTATGGTTGTGAAATCACATCATAATAATAAAAGAATTTATAAAAAAATGAAAAAAGGGTGTTTTATTATTATTATTGTATTTAAATTTTACTATTTAGTTAAGAATGATTATCTACTAACTATAATTCATATATTCATCTCTGGTACACACTTTTTACAACTTATCTTTGACTACTATAGTTTGTGTAGTCAGTTTGACAGATATAAGCAAATGATGACTTGACAGTCATAATTGTTAGCTTGCTTTCCTGCTACATGTGCATGTTTTCCTATAACTTGCATGATGGCATACATACTTTCCACTGCAGAAATATGCAATTTTATGAAGAACTAATTTGCAATAATATATAGTACACATGAAAACAATCCAAGGATACTCTACAATATTAAAGTGAAATGTTATGTAATCATTCACAAAAAATTACATACATCAAAATATACTTTATTGTTGACTTTAATATTACTTTATTAAAAATCATCATCAACCTGCTGTACAATCATCTACCTTTTAAAAATTGAACTTGTTACATTTAATATTTCATCAGGATTTTCTATTCAATAGATATTTGATAATATAAGGAGTTAAGCAAAATTTGAACCAATTATATTTTATTTTTACAAGTTCTTTACAGTTGTACCACAATTCATTACATTACTTTATATCATATTAACTTCAATAAAAACATTTCAGCATATTTTGAGATAAAAGACCCAAGTACCTTGCATCAGTTTTAGCTGTAATAAAATTACACTGTAAATACTTATAGTTTTCTTCTTGAAGTTTCTTGAAAATGATGTTTCTTTTCGAAAAAATTAGAACAGTAAGGAAATAAATCATTCCTTAAAACATTTTTCATAATCTTACATTATATAGAAATTTACGAAATGTTAAAAAATGTTAATGAACTGTATGTGTGTTAAAAACGATGATACTGTGACATAGTATATAAGCATACTTGCACTTATATCAAATTTACTGAAATGGGAAAATATATACATACCTGAAAGCAATCTTGCAATAGCATTTGGTTTGGAGCTCTTGCGCTATCCACTGGGGCATTTGTATTTACACTGACTTCCTTTACCCATTTTTTGCACTCTTCAATCAAATTTATACTTGATCGTATCATTCAGCTTTCCAGTTGTTGGAGCAGTAAAGGAAAAAATCGTATTTTAACACAGTAATTACTACATTTACATTATACTCTACGAAGATTTAAACGCCAGATTTGTTTACAATCAGGTGGCGGTACATCTACCATATACCGTATTTATCTTCTTTTCAAATCACGCCAACATAATAATTACGCCAAATTTTTTTCTGGGCATGCGCAGTATGCGATATTTGTTTAACACTGTTCAACTCAATGTGCGGTCTGCCATTACGCCAACGGGATGGGCTGATATCACAATCACAGAAACACACTCGCACATCGTTCGGTATCTTTCTCAGCAGCAAAGACCGCAATTCCGTTAATCACAACAACAAAGGCGAAAAACGAAAAGATTCGCTCAGGGCCCCCCTTCCATCCGTTATCGAAGCCGAAAGCGCCCTTCTTCCCCCCTTTTTTTAATTATACAGCAACAGAGTAGCAGCAAGAACTTTCAACGCCGGGGGAAACTGAAGATTTTGCGCCCCCTTTTAGTGCCAAGACCGGAAAATACTTCTCTCTAAAATTTCGTAGCATTGATTTGGTGCCCCTTGAATGCTGCGCCCGAGAGCAGAGGTCCCCCCTTGCCCCTTTCTCTGCTTTTCAAAATAAAACGCGAATTTAAATCCAAATATCTATTAAATATAACTTTCCAAAGTGCATGTTTTTCATACTTCATTTTTTATTCTCTAAAAATTGCAATACCGATGACTACACACTTTTATATGGTCTGCTCTTTTCATACTTTTTTTTTTTTTTTGTAATAACGAATTACACCGTCACCCGTTCGACAAATTGTAAGCCCATATTCATTCTTCCATAAAATAATCTTACCAAGCTCTCAGTTATTCCAATAACTTATTATAGTTGTTCAGCTGTTGGGTAGGAACACAGCCGTCGTTGTTTAACCCTTTGACGCGCGGTGGTCGCGCCCTAAAACCACCAATTTTCGAATTTTTTTTTTTTTTTTTTTCCCCTCCTCTTCCTTCCGAAATTTTTGAGTGAAAATCAATTGATTAATGATGTTTTATCTCTAAGTAACACAAAATGACTGCAGAATCACACATGTTTCAGGTCTTAGTACTCCAAATCGGATGCCTTTTAAAATTCGTTTTCAATGAGACAAAATAACTTCCTTTTATTAATATAAACAACTTTAAATTTCAAAAGCTATTCATCGCACATCATGATTTCTATCATAAACAATAAAAAATAGCAATAATTAAACTGCATATATAAAAAAATAACCTCTATATGTATGGCATTTGCTTTGTGGTTTCAAGGCGCGACCACTGCACCACCTCTAAAGGCTCGGTAGTCGCGCCTTGAAACCAGTGCTCTTCACAATGGCGTTTGCTTGCTTCTCAAATAGGAATGTTTATTTTTACCCGGATATAGATAAGGAGTTTTAAAATCACAGAGTTATTTTATTACTAAACAATACATGCACCTGCCCAGTAAATAGGTCTTTCTCTTCCAGAGACTTTTCTCTGACCTCAACACACTTGCTCCCCAAGCTAGTATTGTGATTTTATAAATTATTTCCTGTGATTCAGAAGTCAAACAACAAAAAATTGTGGTTTAAATTTAATGTAATATACTTTGCTGCAATAATTAAAAATAGAAATCTCATAAAGTTTTATTTAAATTTAAAATATTTTGAATATTTTGGGACGAAATGCGAATAAAATAAATATGAATGGGAAACAAATGATCCGTGCCATCAAGCCAAAAAGGCCAAGCCCTCCTCCCCCCATTAACATAAAAAACCACAAATTTCATGTGCCAGATGAAAAGAAACTAAATAACGCTGGACATATAACAGTGAAATTTAGATCCAATCAGTGTACATTTTGTAGCACAAGGAAGAAACCTCATAGAAGAAGATACATGAGGCGAAACGTGCAATGTGGGCATGCATGTACCAAAAAGACAAAACATGCTTTGAACAGTGTCACAAAATATATTTGTTCTTTGAAATTAAAAGAAAAACACTGAGTCTTTTTTTATCCTTCTTCTACTGAGTTTTTTAATCCATGTAGCCAAACGTCCTTATTATATAGGTACTTTCACTGCTATAGAAAAATTACATAAATGTTTATTTTTTAATTTTTTCTGACGATTTACTTTTTAAAATAATGTAAAAATATATATATTGTATATTGCAATTCTTACATGCATTTTGTTTTAAATTCGTAAATTTAGTCATTATTGAAAACGCGCACGGAGAAAGGTAAGTTTGTTTTTTCCTATTATCTCGGTAAGTTTCAAAGTCTAGAGCGCGGTGGTTTCAAGTGCGACCACAACCCACAGAACAATGGGCAAGAGTAGATTTTTTTTTAAATTCATATATTATTTGTCTCTAGGATCATAATATTCAATTTCTAGAGTTTTTAGTTAAAAAATTATAAAAATAATATCGCGCGCGTCAAAGGGTTAAGGTTGTTTCCCCGTTTTCCGTATGGCCGTCGTTCATCCATGTCAGTAAATGACTCATTATTTAGTTCATGAGTGTTCGATTTGATGCATTTAATAATGTTGATGGAATCTAACTAGCTGAAAACGAACTTCTACTATGTTATTAGTGAAGTAAGCAAAATGAGTTTCAAAATCAAAGAAGTCATTTGCGCAAAGTTGTATGATATGTTTCTACACTTATTCATCATTGCAGATCTTGGTCGACTTGGTCCAGGTCGTCTTGATACGGATCCAATGTCCTGGAAGTATATTCACAAAATACACACGGCATTAGGCGTTACGTTAAGCTCCGTAAACACCTGCGCTTGTGACTGGCCTGCATCCAATCTACTGACAATTCTCCGTCTCATACCGTCATCCATATGTTCGTGGCTAGTCATTTTACCCCATACTTTATAAAATTTACCCAACTCTTGAGAGAAACACGGCGAAAGTCGTAAAAAAAGTATGAGCATGCAAATCGTCGAAAATCCCTCATGCGCTAATATCCTCTCCCCAATCACACAGGGTTGCCACTCAAACAGGAGAATGAAATTCCCTGACTTTTCCAGGTTTTCCAGGTGTGTTTCAAGAAAATTCCAGTCTATCCGCGTAATGTACGTTGGCTGTGCTAAGAGGTAAATTAATTATGGTATTACTTGTATTGTGTAGCAAATTCACTTAATTATTCAATAAATCCCAGAGGACATTTATTCTTAATTATTCTTGGTATACTTGTTTGATAATTTTGTTTAGTTTTCCACTTAAGAAACTTAATAAAATTTAAGATATATATATATTGGATAACAAATGTATGTTTTATTTAATTATTACTCATGATCATCACCAGTTCAACACGAGGCCTAATCCGGTCCTTATAAATCACAACGCAATGCTAAATAGTTAGGTTAGATTTTAGGTAAATTTAATTTGCGTGAGGTATGTTCTTAAAAACCTTAACACTTGAAAAACACAATATATTATAATAGTTGCTGTTTTCTACACTGAAGATTGAGATTAGAATCTTCCCAATCTGGAATAAAATAAGGCTTTTTTTGCAGACATTCTGCAGCTAAACGAGAGAAAGAAATCTATTTTAATAAATTGAGATATTTTATATTTATTTTGCAGCATACATAAGGAAAAAATATGTGCATTAAATTTCGTGATGGTATGTCATCATAATGGCAAGGTATTTATTAAGAAAAAAAAATGGTTTAAAAAGATTTTGCGGTAAAATTCTAGTATACGGTAAGGCTTTGGCACGATTTTGAAAATTGTCGCCAAGACCAAAATGACCTGTTTACTGCGCATCAAGATGTCGCCAAATCCATTATTATTCTAACCAAAGAACGTCTATGTAAAGAAGAAAGGTTCCATACAAGTAAAATGCTATTACGCCGCTAGAATGCGAAGGAAAATTTTCCAAGGGATTTGCGACGGAACCTGGCGGGTCAGAATTTCCCTCTCCGCGATGTGTACAGGAAATTGAGAACGCGTGTTAAGAAGAAACGCTCTTTGACAAAAAGAAAAACTACGAAAATCCGTTTTTAAATTATTTCGAAAAATCCAAGAAGAAACGTTTTATGAAAGGACGTTTCTTCTTGGATTTTTCGCAATAATTTTAAAAACGGATTTTTGTAGTTTTTTTTTTTTTCTCTGAAAATAACTAATCCATGAATTAATTTATTGCGCCAAAAAATATTTCTTTCCTTTAGAGTTTAACCACTTGCGCTAAGACTAAACTTCACGGTTACGGTGCCGTGCGTACAATAACAAGCGGTAAAGTGTCTATTTACGCCGCTCCACATCTGCGAGTGCAATCCAGAGCTGTAACTCGAGAAATAAACAGTGTGCACCACGTATTTTCATTTATGCGATAAATGCTTATCGACGTGGTTTCACGTCGCTCGCGGTTTGAGACAAAAGCATCTTGACGTGCGTGGCACGTCTTTTAGCGCAAGTGGTTAAAGAAATTTTAAACGATATTCATTTTATGAACTCTGATAACGTGACCTTCGAACTTCGACACCGGTTCGAGCTTTGGTGGCAGATATATCAGACATGCACAGCTGTTTCGCTCTATGATGGAACGGAGCCACAGCCATTCTGTTGCAGAGAGGTTTTCCTTCTTTACAATACATATTCTTTGATTCTAACCTCCAAGTACCGTATACTAGGATTAAACCCATTTTGTTTTATACGAGAACAGGTACTTTTAGTTCATGCACTGCACATGCGATTCTCGGAGAATACTGGAAACCAAAAGTTGCTTTTTGCCTTTCTAAAAGACAATCAAATTGGAGCTACGAAAATTGGCTCTATGCCAGCTACCCGAATGACACTCACGTGATACATAATTCGCCAAAAAAGTTACCTCTTCCGACGTCGGCGCAAAAATCTCTTTTTTTTTTTTTTTTTTTTTTTTTGCGGGATCGTTGCATGAACTTCCCTGACTTTTCCAGATTTTGACAAAAATACTTAAATTCCCTGACTTTTCCCTGAATATTTTGGTCAATTTT